TATTGTTATGGTGATTGAACAATAATCGATTATTAGATATATTAAGATACAATATAAATCGACCTAAATTATAAAAAACACAAATTGCCTCACTCGTTTTAAGAAATGAGCGTTATCTATACTTTCTAAACGATATTTTTAAAGAAATCCATTGTCACGTAGATTGAAAACTTTTCATGGTAAAATATAAAATTGAGTATGGCAAAGTGACGTTATGTGTAACCCGTTCACAAGCCATTCATAATTAGTCTTGGTTGGGCATAATGTCACTTCATCCATGTTTAGACGGAACAATACACAAATAACATATATTTTGTGGCCTAAATTACTACTTTAAACGGTTAGGATTTATATCAGTAGACAAATAAAAAAACAACGAGGAAGTGATCAAAATAACGCTCAGATTAACGCATAATAAGCAGCAGAAGTTCCGTATGGTCTGACAACTAAATCATGATTTATATACTTTAACTGACGATTACATTACGAAGTGTCAAATTAAAATTTAAGATTAAAATTATATTTAGCTATTGTTTGAAATACAGAAAATTAAAATAGTAGCATGCTTATGTTCTTTTGTCACTGACTTACAAGTGTATATATTTATTTAGATATTATACCTTTTTACAGCAGTAATATCATTAAGCTCTTCATAATTTCCAGTAGAGCTCTTCTCAATCCCCAGTAAGAGTTCAAAATGACATTCTACGGTCTTTGGATAATAACAATGTGACTATTCTCGTGATGCTTGATTTGTCTGCTGCTTTTGATACAATTGATCACGGAACGCTCCTTCGCCGCCTTGAACGACACTTTGGAATTACAGGCAAGCCACTCGCATGGATGACGTCATACCTGACCGACCGATACCAGACTGTATGCATAAACAACAAACTATCACAGCCAGTCCACATGGAGTACAGTGTACCTCAAGGGTCTGTCCTGGGACCCAAGAGCTATGTGATGTATACGAAACCTGTCGGAGAAATCTGCCGTAAACATGATCTAAACAACCATTTCTTCGCAGATGACTCACAACTCTATCTATCCTTCAAACCAGTGACTAATATTTCAATTCAAGAGAATATAAACCGTATTGAAAGATGTCTTGAAGATATTGTAAGTTGGATGAATGCCAACATGCTGAAGCTAAACGGCGATAAAACAGAGTTGATCATCTTCTCATCTGAACATAACGCACAACCTGTTTCAGATGTTACAGTAACAGTCGACGGTTCGAAAATTAGCCAATCATCTAGTGTGCGCAATCTTGGTGCATTTCTTGACTCGAACATGAGGATGGAACAACATGTAAATAATGTCTGTAGGAACTGTTATGCACAATTAAGACAAATCGGTCACATCAGACCCTATCTTACTGTTAAAGCAACCAAATCTCTAGTAAATTCACTTGTTACTTCTAGGTTAGACTACTGTAATGCACTGTTATATGGAGTCTCTAAGCAGTCAATGACCAAGTTACAAACATGTTCAAAATACAGCAGCTAGAATTGTGACCAAAACACTCAAATATGACCACATAACACCTATCTTACGTGAACTTCACTGGCTTCCGGTAGTAGATCGGGTCGAACATAAAATTTTGACTTATACATATAAATCCCTCATCGATCAATCACCAGCCTATATAAAAGACATGATAGACGTGTACATCCCAGTCAGAAATCTGAGGTCCCAGAATAACTCAATGACATTAGTTGTGCCTAAATCTCGGACAGTACGATATGGTGACAGGTGCTTCCAGACAGCCGCAGCGAAATTATGGAACGCGTTACCACCTGACGTTAGAGACTGTAATACCTTGCCATGTTTTAAGAGAGCTCTCAAAACACATTATTTCATAAAGTTCTATGGATGTTAGTTCATAAATCATCATACATGTACTACTTTTGCTATATTATCAGTGTTAATTTTAATTGTGCCATGATTTTAAACTAAATGTGTCTGTATTTCTTACCATCCTTTACTGGTTTTAGATTATCATTATTGTTTAATAGGTTTACTTAATTAATGTTGTACATTATGTCTTATATAGATATATATGATTATGTTTTATCGGATTTATGTAAAGCACTCTTGAACATTTATTATTTATGAAAAGAGTGCTATAGAAATGTGGTATATAATAATAATAATAAAGTACATTTGAACGAAGAAGTATGTAGTTGAACCCTTTTATAATTAAGGAAGAACAATTACAAAAGTTATTGTAAGGATAACGTTATAATAATACCTCTAAGGATGGACGGTAAATACTATCAATAAATAGACGCTGTAAAGTTCAAAAGGATGACTATAATAAAAATCTGAGAAAATACAAATCAATTGATACCATGGAAAATTGATAGTTTTACATGAACATATTTTGTGTTTGTAAGTAAAAGATCCTACTTACAATAAAGCCATTATAAAAGCCCCTTCACTGTTAATATGCCTCCTTCAGGTACATTATGTTATTGTTGAATCTTGTCAAAGACTTATGATAATGTTCAGTACATGCCAGAGTCTTTTCAACCTAGTGATGCGTAGCTCTACTGTTATGACTGCTTTCATCATTTTTGCCGATAAACGATTATTTAGTTGTACTATAAATCAAAATAATTAGCAGGAGTTTTCATTGTATTTAATCCCTGAAAGGCCAACAGATATTCAAAAGACACATGTGCACTTGAATGTTTTAGAACTATGAGTTTATGTGTAAAATATAAAGCATAATACTTGCTGATTCTTTTCTGTAATAAAAAAAAAGACGCAAGCATATCATTTAAGCTGAGTCAGACCAAGATTGTTTTAGATTACAAACATAATTCGTTATACTTTACTTACAAAGATATATACTGAACGTCATTCGCGAACTTTGATCATTTCTGTTTTATTTACTCGGAGTGAGACATTCACGTTGAACAAGCGTATTTTCATTTCGTTGCGTGTTTTATCTTGATATTTTAAATATAATATAGAGTGTTTGGACCAATGCTCGGCGCATACCAATGCTCGGCGTAAAAAATATATGTTTAGAATATCTGAAAATGTCTCGAGTTATCTCCGATTTAGGTCACTGTTCCTTTTATTTACATATTTCAGCATTTTATCCTGGTGTGGTTCACTACTGGTAAAGTCACGTTACAATGGTAATAGCGAACAACCGTATATAATCCCCAACATATAAATTATTAAAATGTTTTAACACTAGAGTTCTGGGGCTGTAAAATTTAAACTAAAAGTTGGGTACTTGTAAATGTATGACTATGAACCTAATTTGGTTGTTACAATTTATTCAATATGTTTTCTTCATAAGATAAAAAAGAGATTTTATTCGAAAAACAATCCTGCATCATGTAGTATTGTAAGCCGAGCTATGGTACAATTTCACGCAAACCACTCTTGTTTATCAGGACTATCTATAGCTCCAGTCATGCACATCATTATGTGATTAGCGAATTTTACACAATGGCTATTTAAAACATTATCATCGGTCTTGAAAATCGACATATAACATTGAGGTTTGTTGACGTTGATTTGAATTTGCCATATCAAATATAGTATTTTTACGCCGAGCGTTGGTTCACCCACTCTATATTTGGTCTTCTATATCATTAGAATGATACCCAGTATTTACATAGTTTTAATGATCGTAAATCTGGCATTTATAAATGTCGACTCTAGTTGCCCTGGAGGTGTAGGCAGGTGTAATTGGATACAATGGGAGCCATGGTCTCATTGTAGTAGGACATGAGGTGGGGGGACAATACAAAAGTATAGACATTATTGTTGCAAGTCAAGCTTTGCAAGTGAAACAGATGCTTGTATGGGGAATTGCGGTCATGACATGGACTATTATTATGAAAACAATTCTGAGTCTAAAGACTGGAACCAATTGTGTAACAACGGTGGTAACATTAGGTATAATAGTACATTATATGGATCGTGTTGTGAGAAACGTATGTGAAAATAAAAATAACTTGTAAAAACCTTATTTTATCACTTCACCTGACAGATTGCTTGTTCAAGTATTTGCTCATATGTGTTTTAACTTCTCAGATGAAAAACTAGGTCACAGGTGCTAAAAATATAAAAATATTGTTAACACTATAGCGGCTTTTGTGTTGACCCCAATATCCTGGAAATTAGTCAGAAAGGTTGTTTTGATGATTTCTAGGTCGAGTTTGAATATAGGTTACCTTGGGGCAAAAATTATGTCACACAACCAAAATATGGAAAACCCTTGTTAACACTCTACAGGCTACTGTTTGGATCCAAATATCCTGGAAATGTGTCAGAAAGGCTGTATTTTGTTGGTAAATTCTAGGTAGAATAGAGAAAATAAGAAACCCGAAGAGAAAAAACCAACACGTCAAAATTGAAAATGTTGCAGGCTCGGTTTGATTGAGCCTGTTCATGGACGGTACTGTCAAGTGCAAACTACCGTCCACGCCCCCTAGCACCGACTTAAGCAGAATTCAACATTTAAACATGAAATGGTAAAATTTTGAATTTAGAAACATCCGCAGATGTGTTTATACGGCGGTTATCATGGAACCTTCAATGTGACACAATAGTGCCAGTCCATGAAAAGCGGCGTATGGTCCCTAGTAATAAAAAGCTTGTGCCCTAAACGATAAAACAATGGGCGGAACTTTGTAAATTTCCAGCGATATATTTACCATAAGAAGAATAAGTTTTCATAGTAATTACAGATCTGTGTTTTTAGTTTTATCGCACTGTTTACTTTAGCAATTTGAAACATTTGATTATTATTTCAATTAACGTTGTTTAATTATTTTTATGAGAACGTAATTCCTACAAACGTTGAAACTACATATTAAACGAATTGGTATCAAATTTCAATTTTGCTGTTTTACTGATAACACCTTTATTTAACCGAAGGTTTAAAAAACCTTACAATTCCATTGCTTACAAAAGTCGATAAAGCAATATTCATTCAGCTACATCGAATAACTTGGATTTATTCAGTTGTAGATATTTACGCGATAGTTTAACATGTGCAGTAGTTCTCCACTATAGTGTGAATGGCAGGTTTTATTCACCTCGTTGTATTTATTGTTGTAAATTTTACATATATTTATGTTGAAGCGGGTTGCAGAGGGGGGACACCCTATTGTTCTTGGGCACCCTGGAAGTCATGGTCAGGCTGTAGCAGGACTTGTGGTGGGGGATTAAGAACGAGATCTAGGGCATATTGTTGTGACGTGGAAGAATTGGACTTTAATGGTTGTATTAAGTATTGCGGATATGACTATGAATATGGTCAAACGTACGCATATGACAAAGAATTTTGCAACAAAATTTGTTATAACGGTTATTACTCAGATGGAAATAACAGGTGTAGTTGTAATGACGGATACTACGGAACGTGTTGTGAAAATGGTAAGTTAATACGTCATTATTATTTGAAACCATTTCAGTTCATTTAAATTCAATCTGGTCTTGCAATATTTATGTCATCATCATCTAAAACATCATACATTTAATCACATCTCTTTCATCAGTACCTAAATATACCACATCATCATCGCATTTACAACTACAACCAACATCAATATTATAATCATCATTATTACCGACACCATCATCATTTGAATCATCATTTACATGATCGCCATCATTATCAACATCATCATCATCATCACCATCATCATAATTTCCTTCATAACATTAAATCATTATACAAACCGGTATAAAGTATCAATCACTTCTAATTTTCAGAATTTGAAAAGCATAACCAGTTTCCATTTTCTCATTGTCGTCATCATCATAGACACCAACATCACCATCATCAAATACATCCCCATTTTCTTCATCATCATCGCCGTGAACATCATCATCGTCATAATCATTATATATATCATTATTGTAATAATCATGATAATCATTTGCATCATCAAAGTCAGCATCGGCATCATTCTCATTTACATCTTTATTATCACAACATCATCATAACAAACGCCACCAACATAATCGCCACCAACTTCATCCTCATCATCCTGCAAATTACCCTGATAATCATCAAATTACTATCATAAGCATCATCATCCAAATCGACTTCATTATCATTGTCATCATCCACCTCATCATCGCAATTTTAGCGAGGGATGTTGTTGTTTGAATTATTTAATATTTTTCATGATATATTAAGTACATGTTTATGGAAGGAACGGTTGTACCCTCTTTGAAAAATAAATGCCAATAAATAAATAAATGTTTTGTTTACGATCGGTGTTTATGCTCTCGTTTATAAAATTATGAATAATGACCTTCATATTTATGTTTCTTTTCATGAAATATTGACCATATTCTATGGTTGATGTATCCTTAAAGATAAAAATACATATTGATCATACCTCTGTTACTGAATTTAATTATTTTATGTTTTTCAGTGGATTACTGATTTATCCGTGAAAATTATATTTGATAATTTTACAGTGAAAATCATCAAAATATAATTAAACACTTTTCAATGATGAGACTACTTTTTTAAGATTTTCCCAATGCAGTACCTCAATTTCATTAATGTTGACAATTCTGACATTGTCAGGGCTATTTTGAGAAAAGCAAAGCTGAAATTGATAAATAACTGGAATGTCAAAAGTAATAGAAAGACGAAAACTTACTTCAATTCATGAAAATTTCCACTCACCAAATATCGCTTCTAAATGTTTGTTTCATTTTTACAGTCTGAAAAAAAAATTCCTTCCATATGCAAAACTGCTCTTGATGACATTTGGGCATATTTAAGTATCCTACAGGCAATAACTGCCTAATAACTTGAAAAGCAGTGACAGGCATCAGTCCGAAGAATAAGTAAACAACCCAGCATTCGTAAGGCAGCCCTTCAAAAATTCCATGTTTTTTTTAATCTCCTAGCCGCTTTTTGAATGTTTACACATCTGTCAACATTTATTTATTTTCTGTAACAATCCTCAAATAAGCTTTCTTTCATCTTAAAAGATGTATGGATAACAAATCCAAATGATATTCTTCTGAATCAAACGTAATTATTTTCTTCCCGTGAAATACACAACTTTTAAAAATGGTAGTCGCTTACATTTCACAGAGCCAGGTCTAATATAAATTCGCCATATGTAGCAAAAATATGGATGCATGGTTTGACTTTTGTTCCTACTAGAATTGTTTGTTTTTATTATTAAAACAAGCGATCATTCATATTATTTGAATTAAATGAATATCCTCGCCATTCAACGTTGATTGTCGAACTTATTTTTTAGCCCAATACTTCTTGTATTTTATGAAAAATTCGACCAATAGGGGCTTCCGGTGGGGAAAACAGATTTTAATATTAAAGTTAATATCAAGGAAATTTCGTTTTAACTTGTTTTTAAGCATAAAATAAAAAGAAAATGTGTCTGTTTGTTTGTTGTGTAAGATGTCATTTTATTTCAGCTCGTGAACTTTAAAAACAGTATTCTCACTCGTGGTTACGCCACTTGTGAGAATTCTGTTTTTAAGGCTCACGAGATGAAATAAAATTTCATCTTACACACAAACAAACAAATATCCTCTATTTGTTTATTATTATTACTTTATTTAAAAATAATTTCTGGTGAACTATACACAGTTTTTTTACTGACAAATAAATAACTTTATGATAAATAAATACTTCAAAAGATATCTCTGTTCGTCTGCGGTAGTACGTACTCTAACACTTCTGCAACGTATTTAATTATCATAATTTTCACAAAATCGTATCTACAATTTTATAAATAATAAATTAAAAGTTTTCAAGCTAATACAAAGTCTGACAGTTACAAAAGTACACTATGACGCCAAAATGACAATTGCTTGTTTGTATCTGGGGATTAGCTTGGGAAAAATTGCCGTGTTAGGGATAGCATCTATCGAACTTAATTTGATTTAGGTATAACATGTGACAGTAAACATTGTATATGCTATGTTTTATTGATAGGTGGCTAAAAATAAAATCATTTAAATAAGTCATTATCTCTCATGAGAACAAATGTCAAATGTCTGAAAAACTTTATTGTATAAATTATGATCAACATTTTCGTCTACTGGTGGGTCCGCTCTTTTAGCTCAAAATGGAGATCATCGGATTAGTGGTCACTGGTTTTATCCTTGAGTGTAGTTTATTTCATTCAAACAAGTAATCTTGGACATTGAATAAAATGGACATTTGTCTCTCAATCTTCATTCAAAAATTATTTTGTGAGGTAAGTAATTAGTCACCTGCAAAGATATTGGTAATTACTGGCTAGTTATCCAAGAAAGACATGTAGGTGGATCGATCGCCGAGATAAACTTTTGTGTAACATTCGGTGTTTACAAACACTGAGACACAAACAAACATCGTGTTTATATATCATTAATACTCAATGCAGAAATTTAGTATTGCCATTTATAAACGCATTTCACTTTGCGTCCTCGAAGGCTTGCCAATATTTGAAAATAAGTTCACTGTTTCCAATCAAACACCTCTTAACTAAATGTAAGTATTGTGTGTGATAAATACTTAATTTATTCAAAGTTGTCAGCTAAAATCTTTAGTAATTGAGCTGATATAGACGAATTAAATACTTTTACTTAAATGACAATTGTGCAAATTGACAATTTTTTACAATGTACAATGACTTTGAATTATTTACTGAATAAACTCAAAATCATTCCTTTACGTGTGCAGTAATTTAAAACAATACTTTATCGAGGCCCGAATAAATGTTTTGATCAAGTTGTAGATATGTTCACAGCTTGCATATTTATTTATCGGTTCTCCAAAACAACACATGAATGTTACTTTTCGTTTATTTTTTAGAACATGTTAATGTCTTTATTCGTTCATTTTTATATAAAACACTAGCGTATTATCTGTTCCTTTACAAGATAACAAGTTCGATTGCTTTTGAATGTTTCTTACATAACATGGTATGCCCTTTATAAATTCCTAGAATTACACGTTAAGGTGATTATTTGTTTACAATAAAATCAAATGAATGTGTTTTGACTAGCATTGAACTGTTGAACAGGTTGAACTGTCTCTAATATTAATAATGTGATTGATTGATGTCTCTATATGTATTTTACTTTCCGAAAAAGTTATCGTGTCTGTTTGACTTAAAGGTTATCCGGTTAATATGTATGTTTTGAAAATAACTGGTTATGAAGTTTTATGTATGTTTCTAGAATAACAGGTTATCACCTGTATGTATATGTTCGTTCTTCAAATAACATATCAATATGTTTATTTGTCTTTTACTACGATACAAGGTTAAGGTGTATAATTGACTGTTATTTTATTATCACGGTACGTTTCCGTATCTATATGTTTTTACTATCTTAACAAGATAACGTGTGTAACAGATTTTACTATCATAGCTAAAATTAAAATCTTCTTGTCTTTTTCTAGAAAAGCAATTGCGAATGAAACAATATCCGCGAAACTAATGACAGCTCTGCAAAATGAAATGTTTTTATTGCCTCTGCCGAAAAGATGGCGGCGAATATGATATAAGTCTCCGTTCGCCCATCTGTATGTTATTTCGTTCAAAATCCCTTTTGCCCGGAGCGAAACTAAAAATAAAATATTTGAGATATCAACCTGAAACTTTCTAGGTAGATAGCAATTATTGAGAAGGCTCGAAGTTCTAAATATGAATAAATCTACTCTTTATTGGTTGTTTGTTTTGTTTTTGCTTTGATTCTATTCGTAATTGCATTATATCATTTTTATTTTCAATTTTTGCCAGGAGCATTTCTCAAATCAACTTGAAACTTCATACAAGGATGCGCATGATACGTAAAGCACTTTTGTTACAATATTACATAAATTTATGACTACATATTATCTACTGATTTCGGACTGTGAAAATTTGTTTGTATTGTATTCACTTGTACGAGTACATATAACATGTTTTGCGAAAGCTTATGATCACAAATAATGTTTGTTATAATGCCAAAGAAAATTAGGCCGCACGTTTGATATTCAGATACAAAAGTAATTATTGTTTTGCCTAAAGCTGATCATATCCAAAACATAAACAGTACTGTCAATTAAAAATCATCCCGCAATGGCAACGCATGTAACAAATTGATATAGCACAAAACATTTAAGGATATCTTTAAAACTAAGAGTATCTGTAATTAAGTACTTAATAAGTCAAATGTCAGTCCTTGAACAAGGATTCGCAGTTGAAGTGCGCAAATTGGTATAAAGCTAGACAATATAATGATTTGTTTTAGAAACAAATTGTCAAACCAAGATGGAGGATCAGAACATGCATTTTCGCTGTTCCATTTACTATTGCATTGGTAATGACTTAATTATAGAGACATAGAGTCTAGACGATGATTTTGATACCTACTCAGCCCTTGATAAAAAATGGATACACTATGTC